TGCAAAGCCAGCAGCCGCTGCAGCAGCTGCTGCGCCCCCGTTGTGCTGCTGCTGCTGCTGCTGCTGCTACCGCAAGGCAGCAGCAAAGACAGCAGCAGCTGCTGCAAATCTCCAGTCGAAGGCAAAAACGCCATTGCTGCTATGCAAGCAGCCGCGGGTCGCCAGACCTGCAACACAGCAGCAGAAAAACCCTAAACCCTAAACCCTAAACCCTAAACCCTTGCTAGTAGCGCCTCATGTTTGTACCTCCTCGTAAACCCTAAACCCCAAACCCTAAACCCTAAACCCTAAACCCTTGCTAGTAGCGCCTCACGTTTATACCTCCTCGTAAACCCTAAACCCTAAACTCTAAACCCTAAACCCTTGAAACCCACCAGGATATTCGAAGAGGCCGCAATCCCTTCGGGGGCAGCGCTGTGCAGGAATCGTACTGCTGCGGTGCTGCTGCTGCTGCTGCTGGTGCCGCAGCATCCAACGGCGGAAGTGTAGCAGCCTTCAACTGCTGCAACAGCAAAGGTGTGCTGCAGCAGCTGCTGCAGCAGCTGCAGCAGCTGCGGCCGCCTTTCAACTGTGCATGCACTAGGGTTTAAGTGCAGCAAACGCGAGACCCCCTGCAGCAGCCCCACAAGGTAGTTCTCCCTTGGAAGAAGAGCAGACCCAACGCGTTCTGCTGCTGCTGCTGCTGCTGCTGCAACAGGATCTGCTGCTGCTGCTGCTGTTGCTGCAACTGCTGCAGCCAACTGCTGCTCCACAGCCGGCCACACAATGTCTTCCAGCGCAGCAGCAACTAATCTGCTGCCCTCCGAGTTGCTGCCGCTGCTGTTGCAGTTGCTTTCATGTTTCAGCAGCACCTTCAGCGCATGCATTGCTGCACGCGACAGATCCTCAAAGGAAAGGAAGAGGCAGCTGCAGCAGCACAAGCAGCAGAAACAGCAGCAGCAGCCACTACACACAGCACAACATTTCGATACCCCTACTGCTACTGCGGCTGCTGATGCTTTTGTTGTTGTTGTTGCTACTGCTGCTGCTGCTTTTGCTGCTGCTTACTTCGCAATGCCTACGACGCAGTGCTGCAGCGCAGGCGCCAAGGGGGGCGCCGATGTGATAACGAAGGGGACATTTGCTTCAGCAGCAGCAGCAGCAGCTGCTGCTGCTGTTGCTGCTGCATTGAGCGAGCTGCTGCTGCTGCTGCTGCTCGAGCTGCCTGCTGCCCCTGCCGCCTGCCCAGCAGCAGCTGGCTGCTCCTTTCGAGCTGCGCGCAGCAGCTGCTGCAGCGGCAGCCGCGGCAGCAGCAGTAGCGGCCTCCAATCCTCGTGCAGCACAGCGAGCTTCAAGAAGCGGATTGCCAGCAGCAACGCCTGCAGCACCAACAGCAGCAGCAGCAGCAGCAACACAGTATTGCCCCCGGCAGCTGCTTGCATCAGCAGCAGCCCAGTCAGGGCTTCTTTCGCGAATCTACCGTTAGGGTTTAGGGTTTAGGGTTTAGACGTACATTTAAAACATCTGCCTCCACTGAGATAGAAGGTACAGCGCCTGTTGGTGCACTTGCTTGCTTTGCCGTTGCAGCAGCAGCAGCAGCAGCCGCTGCTGCTGCTCCTGGCGTTCCTGCGGCTGCTGCCGTCGGCGCAGCTGCTGCAGCGTTCTGGCTGTTGGTTGGTGTGCTGAAGCTGCTGCTGTTGGGGGCAGCAGCAGGAGGCGTGCCGCCTCCGTCTCTTTGTTGCTGTTGCTGTTGCTGCTGCTGTTGCTGCTGCTGCGCCTCTGCTGCTGCTGCAGCTCCTGCGCCGAGAGCAGCAGCTTGTGCTGCTGCAGCAGTGGCAGCAGCAGCAGCAAAACTCTGCAGCCCGCGGTAAACAACAGCCAGCGTGTCATCAAGAAGCCAACAGATAACAGTAAGTCCATCTGCTGCTGCAGCATTAGCAGCAGCAGCAGCAGCTGCTGCTGCAGCTGCTGCTGCTCCAGGCCCAGTGGTGGTAACAGCTGTGTCAGACCCCTGTGTAAGCTGCTGTTGGTCTGTCGAAGCCGAATTTGTTGCTGCTGCTGCTGCAGCAGCAGCAGCAGCAGCAACAGCAGCAAGTGCAGCTTTCCCAGGGACGAGGCCCCTAGGAGGTGGCCGCAGAGCAGCAACAAAACAAACACAATCTAAGAAAGCTGCCTGCCAGAGAGGAGACAGCAGCCGCAGATGCCGCAGCGTAACCCAGCGCAGCACTCGCAGCAGCGGCCAGCTGTTGTTGTTGTTGTTGCTGCTGCTGGTGTTGCTGTTGCTGTTGGGACGCCCGCCCGCTGCTTCCTGCTGCTGCTGCTGCTGTTGCTGCTGCTGTGCCGGCAGCAACACACCGTCGTCTGCAGCGTTGCTGCTGGATGCAGCTGCAGGTCCCGTGGTGCTGCTGTTTGACCCAGCAGCAGCAGAAGCAGCAGATAGAGCAGTGCTATGACTGAGTATTTCTGCTGCGCTGCTGCCTATCAGCAGCGGCAGCAGCACCAGCAGCCGCTGCGCCGACTCTCGGCATACTGCATTTTGATGAAAGACAGCTGGCAGCAAATGAATATCGAGGCATCTCCACACACGCTGCAGCAAACGTCCTGTATCTTCATCATGAGATGAATCTGCTGCTGCTGCTGCTGCTGCTGCTGTTCCTGATGCTGCTGCTGGTGCCGTCGATGTGGGAGAAGAACAGTCGTCAATGCTCCCGCTCGAAGCACGTGCACGCAGCCCCTGCTGCTGCTGCTGCTGCTGTTGCTGCTGCTGCTGCAGCTGCTGCAGTGTGATGAACTCGCTGCGCTTCAGCCACCACGGGCCCCCCGCGTACGGCTGCCGCCTCTGCTGCTGCTGCAGCGGGTAATCCTCAGGGATTGGGGGAGGCAGAGCCCACTTAGCAGCAGCAGGAGGAGCAGCAGCAGCAGCAGCTGCTGCTGCTGCTGGGTCTCCCGAAGCAGCTGCTGCTGCGTCTGCTGCAGCACCAAATGCTGCCTCCGCTTCTGCTGCAGCAAGGACGCCGCGAAGGAACGGCGAATGGCACTTCTCCTGCTGCAGCTGCTGCTCGTGCTGCTCCTGCTGCTGCTGCTGCTGCACCGAAAGCTGCTGAGTACCCCCTACCAATGCAAACAGCTGCAGCAGCCAAGGAAGACGCACCTTCCCGCAGTAGCCGAGGCAGCTGTGCGCCAGCAGCAGCAGCAGCAACTCCTCTGCTAGAGAAGCACTCAAACGCGCGTCCGTACCCTCTGAAAAAACAAAACCCTAAACCCTAAACCCTAAACCCTAAACCCTAAAACCCTAAACCCTAAACCCTAAACCCTGAAACCCTCAAACCCGTTGCCTCCAACCCCTAACCCCTATAAACCCCAAATAACAGAAACCGTAACCCACTAAACCCTTTACCGCCTAAGCCCTAAACCCTAAAACGCCTAAACCCTAACAACCCTTAACCCCAAACCCTAAACCCTATCCCTAAACCTAAACCCTAACCCGACAAAACCCCACGCCCCAACCCCTAAACCCCAACCCCTAAACCCTAAACCCTAAACCCTAACCCGTAAACCCTAAACCCCAACCCTAAACCCCAACCCGTAAACCCTAAACCCTAAACCCTAAACCCTAGGCACCTGCGCATTTGAGGCAGTTGATTGCTGCTTGTGCAATGCGTAAGAAGTGCCTTCGACTCCAAAGAGGGGGCAGACAGCGCAGCAAGCGGATTAAACAAAGACAGCCGCCAGCTCTCTCTAATATACTTGAAGAGAAGCAAAGACGCACTAGGCTGCCACAACATAACATTAATAAACTGCTGCTGCACCCTGCTGCAGCACAACCCGGCTGCACCTGAAAAAAATACACACATCCAGGCATACACCCCAAACCCTAAACCCTAAACCCTAAACCCTAAACCCTAAACCCTAACATATATTTCAATGTTGAATGATACGCCACAACCCCACCAGACTAAAGAGTAATAAACCCTAATGCAAGAAAATTGCAAACCCTAATAGACCCTAAGAAACCCTAAAACTAGTAGCGCTAAACCCTAAACCCTAAACCCTAAACCCTAAACCCTAGGACGTACCAAGACAAAGGTCCTGCAGCAGCTTTCAAGCGCATGCACTGCATGCAAAGTCGGCAGCAGCGCAGACGCCTCCACGCGGAGACAGCCGATCAAAGCCCGTACAACGCATGCAGCGTCAAGCTGTGCATACACCCCAACATACATACATACATACATATATATATATATATATATATATATATATATATTCACATACAGTAACACACACGCACGCTATGCATACCCATGTACACATTATAATATTATAATATATATAATATATATACATATATATATATATTATATATATTATGAATATAAACATAGACAGGTATACATATATATATTATATATGCACTCATGCCTAACATACAAGGCAACTGCGCGACGCCTGCGGTGGCCAGTGGTGAAACCGGTACACTCAAAACCCTAAACCCTAAACCCTAAACCCTATATCTTACTTCGTGTAAGGCCGCACTGCTTGAGAGCAGCGGTGCGTCTTCAGGCCCCACACGAGCAGCAAATATGAGGGCGCAGTGCTGCAGCAGACCGTATACAAAGGCTGCGCAGTTGCTGCTTGTTGTTGCCTGCTGCTGCTGATGCTGGTGCTGCTGCTGCTGCTGCTTCCTCTGGTGGGGAGGGAGATCGCGCTCGCTGAGCACAGCTAGCTGCTGCTGCCTGCTTTCATAGACTGCGTCGTCGCATGCAAGCAGCAGCAAAGCCTGCAGCAGCTGCTGCAACAGCAGCTGCTCCGCCTCCCTGTGGCTGCGCGACCGCAGCGCAGCACGCCGCTTATCAAGCGGATATGCAACAGCAGCAGCAGCAAGACCATCCCACTGCTGCTGCTGCTGCTTCAGCAGCAACTGCTGCCGCTCCAGGAGCTCCTGCTGCTGTGCTGCTGCTGCTGCTGGCACCACCTTGTCGCTGCAGAAGTCCACCTGCCGCTGCTGCAGCGCAGCAGCAACAGCAGCAGGAAGCCGCACACCCGACTGCGGCAGCAGCGGGAGCCCCTTCGCCTCAGCAGCCACAGTGCTGCTGCTGCTGCTGCTTTTACTCGTGCTGCTGCTTCTGTCGTTCACATATATGACTCGCGCCTGCTGCTGCTGTTGCTGTTGCTGCTGCAGCGTGGCAGCTGCAGCACGTGTGGTGAGCAGCAGCCAATACAGGGACAGAGGCGTCTCGAAGTTCATTAGCAGCAGCAGCACCTGCTGCAGCAGCTGCCCCGCGCTGCTGCGCATATCAGCAGCAACACAGCTCTCACATAGAGATAAACACAAACCAGGCGATGCTGCACCATCAGAAGCAAACAACCCCTGCAGCAGCTGCAGGCCTTCGCGTTCTGCTGTCTCCGCTGCTGCTGTTTCTGCTGCTGCTGCTGCTGCTGTTGCTGAAGGGGTGTGGCCGCTGCTGCTGTCGCTGCTGCTGCTTAGCTCGTCTTCGGAATCCTCCGCAGCAATTGTGCTGCCATCGCTGGCGTCACTCGTGTTGCTGCTGCTGCTGCTGCTGCTGTTTTTCTGGCTGCGAATGATAGCTAGAGCCTTCCTCACAGCGCGAATAGCCTGCTGCGGCTGTCGCTGCTGCTTATGCTGCTGCTGCTGCTGCGGTTGCGCAGCAATACGAGACCCTACAGAAGTAAGCAGCGGCTCTGAGGCATAGCAAAGACTTGCTGCTGCTCTATCTGCATCCGCATGCAGCAACAGCTGCAGCACAAGCGCCACCACCCGGTCAAGACCCAGCTGCAGCACCGTCTCATAGCAGCAGCTGCTGCTGCTGTAGCTGCCGTGTGCTGCCGCTGCTGCTGCCGCTGCAGCCATGCACGAAATTCGTTCCTGTTCCTGCTGGTGCTGCTGCTGCTGCTGCTGCTGCTGCAGCGGCGCCGCAGCAACCAGCAAACACTCCTCGCTTTCTGCAGACGGCCCCTGTGACTCCCCGACGCTGCTGCTGCTGCCGCTGCTGCTGCTGCTGCTGCTGCTGCAAGGGCCAATGGGGAGGCCAATGCTGAGGACTGGTCTAAAGAAAGGTTCGGGTGTACAGACAGCCGCATCTTTTAAAAAGGCTCTGTTCTTCCCGCCGAGTTTACCGAGTATCTTAATCACCATCTCTGCATGCTTTTCGTGCTGCTGCTGCTGCACGATGCTGCTGCTGCTGCTGCTGCTGCGGCTGCAACTTGTTATGAAGTAACGAGACAGCAGCAACGAAGGCGTAGGAGCAGGAGGAGGCAGCGGCTGCAGCAGCTGCAGCAACGCTGACAGCAGCAAAGTCCGTCTCTGCTGCCGCGCACCTTGCTGCACCTGCAACCGCAAAACCCTAAACCCTAAACCCTAAACCCTAAACCCTGATCCAGAGAGCCCGTTACGCGTGCTGAACGCATTGACTTAAGGGTTTAGGGTTTGCAGGCCTAGGGTTTAGAGCGTAGTGTTTGTAGGTGTGGGGTCTTAAGTTATGCAGGCCTAGGGTTTAGGGTTTCGCCTATGCTGGCCTAGGGTTTAGGGTTTCGTCTATGCAGTAGGGTTTATTGTATCGGGTATGCTGGCCTAGGATTTAGTTAGGGTTTAGGGTTTAGGGTTTAGGGTTTACTTGAGAAGCTAGCACAGGGTAAACGAAGTCGGCATGCAGATGCTCAACCCAAAGCTCAATGGTGCGCAGGCTGAGGGTTAGAAGATCCGCATCAGAGCTCCGCAGTGATCGCAGCAGGGGATACACCAGAAACCCTGAACGCAAACCCTAAACCCTAAACCCTAAACCCTAAGCCCTATATAAACCCTAAACCCTATACCCTAGACTGGAAGGGTTAAAGTGTTCAGGGGTAAAGGTTTCGTACAAAGACCTGAGGTGAACGCTGCCCTGTGTAAACCCGAAAAACTTATTCTATATGAAGCCAAAAAGTAAACCCTAAACCCTAAACCCTAAACCCTAAACACCCAACCGCCTAAACCCTAATCCCTACAAACACCTAACAAATCTTTAGTTGCACGGGCTTCCCGCATAAACCCTAAACCCTTTACAATAACTCCTAAACCCTAACCCATCTCGTGAACACCTAAATAACGCTGCGAGGGTTTAGGGTTTAGGGTTTTAGGGTTTAGGGTTTACCCATGTGAGGCAGCAGATGCTTCAGTCTTGCGGGAGCCAACAGAGAAAACTCTATCCACAAATCTTTCAGCACGTCAGGGGCTGCAGCAAACCCCAAACACAACCCCTAAACCCTAAACCCTAAACCCTAATCTGTAGTCCCCAAACCCTCCCTGTTTCCGACTTCCGGGAAGCCCCTCAGGCTGCACCAGTTACAAGCTACACTGCAAACCCTAAACCCTAAACCCTAAACCCTAAACCCTGATAATGAGCCTACCGGACTGCTGCTGCGTCGCGCACGTCTGGAGATAAGAATGCAGAAGCGGGGTAAAGGAAGCAAAGAAGTGAACCGATCGACCTGCAGCCACATCCAAACCCTAAACCCTAAACCCTAGACCCTAGACCCTAAACCCTAAACCCTAAACCCTAAACCTAAGCGCAAACGCGCTCGGTGCTGAGCTTCAAGCTGGCTTTCCGCCAAAAAGGCGTTCACCCACCCACATCCCTAAACCCTAAACCCTAAACCCTGATGATAAGCAAGCTGCACTGCAAACCCTAAACCCTAAACCCTAAACCCTAAACCCTACCTGGTGGAGTGATCTGACGCAGGAAGACCCGCAGCAAGCCCAGCAGCACATGCGAAAAGTTGCTGACGCTCGCGAGGTAAGCGCTGCCCCTACAGATGTGTTGCAAGAAGGGGTATGCCTGCAACCATACACCGCTTTGAGGGTTTAGGGTTTAGGGTTTAGGGTTTGGACAAGGCAACTCCTATGCAGAAGAAGGCCACGCCATGCCTTCGGCGTTCCGTCTTAAGGTCTATGATTTACGGTGGTGTAAGCTCTAGGGTTTAGGGTTTAGGGATTGGAGCCCGCAGCTCAAGGGTTTAGGGTTTAGGGTTTAGGGTTTACGAGTGTCGCTTCGCAGTCTCTACACCCCACAACCGCCTTGAGGAGATAGCGGAAGAGCCGCACCAACGAAGCCACCGGGCTCATCCGGCAAAACCCTGAAGGCCCACTCCAAACCCTAAACCCTAAACCCTAAACCCTAAACCCTAAACCCTAAACCCTAAACCCTAGACCCTAGACCCTAGACCCTAAACCCTGATGCCCAACTGCTGGGCTCTCGCACCTCCTGAGCCCTCTACTAACCTTCGATCTGCCCCGCACTGCTGAAGCTGAAGCAAGCGCAGGTCGTGATTAGGGTTTAGGGTTTAGGGTTTAGGGTTGCACACCTGTGCCTGCCTGCAGCAAGCCGTCTTCGCCAGGGCATATATCTCCCGTATCGATGTACGAGCTGGGGCCGCTCCAGGGTTTAACAGAAGGGAAGGGCCAAGAAGCATCTGCTGCTGCTGCTGCTGCTGTTGCTGCTGCTCCTGTTGCTGCTGCTGCTGCTGCTGCTGCTCCTGCTGCTGCAGGTGCCGGCGGTGCGTCAGGCACTGCAGCAGAAGGACCTGCGCTCGGCTCGTCCGCGCTGCGCAGCTGCAGCATCCGCTGCAGCATCTGTCCAGCAGCAGCAGCAGCAGCAGTGTGCTGCGTTGGCTGCGGAAGCAGCGGCGAGCAGCGCCCGCAGCGGCAACCTAGCTTCTGCTGCTGCAGACATATGGGCCCAGCAGCAGCAACAGCAGCAGCAGCCGCGGCCGCTGCAGCAGGAGAAGAAGCAGATGCTGCTGCAGCAGTTGCTGCTGCTGCTGCTGCATCCGTGCAGGCGCAGCAGCAGCAACCCGCCTTGCCATAGTACTGCGGAAGATAAGTAGACGGATAGATGCAGCAGTGCTGCTGCTGCTGCAGCAGCAACCGCTCTAACCCCACACGAGATAAGCGAGGAGATATCTCTGATAGGCTGCTGGCAGCAGCAGCAGCAGCAAAATCCGGTGCATGCGGACTCACGCTGCTGCTGCCTGAGCTGCTGCACAACTCAGGCAGAGAAAGGATCGTAGACCCTTGCGCCTGCAGCAGCAGCAGCAGCAACAGCAGCAGCAGCAAAGCCGCAATCCATTAAGACGCCCCACCAACCCGCAGCAGACAAAACTTCGCAGCAGCAACAGCAGCATCAGTACCGACAGATGCAGCAGCAGTAGCAGCAGCAACAGCAAAAGCAGCAGCAGCAGACCTTGAGTACATCCTGATGGTTTACAATAAGCTGCTGCGAGCTGTCGGGCACCCGCGAGGCGCCGCGCAGTATTGCGGCGTCAACCACTGGGTCGCAGACCTGAGAAGCAAACCCTAAACCCTAAACCCTAAACCCTAAACCCTAAAATGCCCTGGATGGTATCTGGATGAATGCCTGCTTCCTAGCTGGGAGGTGCATGGTTTAGGGTTTAGGGTTTGCAGGGAAATTAGGGTTTGCGGCATGAGCTCCAACAGCACATCCTTAGGGTTTAGGGTTTAGGGTTTAGGGGTACTTTGAATGCATCTTGCGCCGCAACAGCATCAGTTCTATCAAAGATATCCACGGAGAAGAGGAGCTGCTGCGACAGCCCAAGCTGCCTCGGGGGCCTTCCCCCCGTGCTGCTGCAGCAGCAGAAGGTGCTGCTGTTGGTGCTGCTGCTGCTGCTGCAGCAGCTGCAACCCCCAGCAGCAGCAGCAGCAGCAGGTCTTGCTGCACATAGCCGCTGCCATGCATGTCTCGAACAAGTTGCTGCTGCATCTGGGGCCTGAGAGGGCCCCACGAGTTGAGCGGATATATGAGGGAAGGGCATTAGACACAAAACCCCTGAATGCACACAAACCCTAAACCCTAAACCCTAAACCCTAAACCCTAAATGCTAAACGCTTGCACAGCTACATACAGCACCAACACACCCCAAACCCTAAACCCTATTGCATAAGCCTAATAAACCCTTAAACTGAGACATCATATACCGCAAGTGGTGCTTGAGGACGAAGTTGGGAGTTTAGGGTTTAGGGTTTAGGGTTTAGCTTACCCTGGCCTGCAACAGGCACTTGAATCTCAAGGGGTAGCATCAGCAAATCACTGCTCTCTGCTTGTGCTGCGAGTGCAGCACAGCCATCGAACTGTCTGTACACCTCGAGCAGCACTTCGTCGCTGTGGCGGTTCCCGCTGCTGTTGCTGCAGCTGTCATCCCCGCTGCAGTACACCCTCCCGCTGCCGCTGCTGCTGCTGCTGCTGCTGCTGCTGCTGCTGCGCATGCAGGGGATTATTCTGTTGCGCTGCGGCTGCATTGGTGGCAGCAGCGCTGCACGCCGCTCCCGCAGCAGCGACAAGCGGGGGGTTAAATACTCCAAGAAGGCCCAGGCAAACGTCTGCAAACCACCAAACCCTAAACCCTAAACCCTAAACCCTAAACCCTAATTTCTAAAGCCTTGACCATGAATGTTCCGTCCCCCAAGCAAATATCCGAGCAATAAAACAAACCCGAATGGCCTTTCAGAGACCACCTCCAGACGTCTAAACCCTAAACCCTAAACACTAAACCCTAAACCCTAAACCCTAAATGATAAAAGATAAACCTAAACCCTGGAAAATACAATTAAAGCCCTAAACCCTAAACCCAAAAGTTGAACAGCGAAGGGGGGGGAGGGAGCGAGCAAGGATTAGGGTTTGCGAGGAGCGTAAGGGTTTAGGGTTTAGGGTTTAACGTACCTTGCTGGTGTGCTGGTGCCCTAAGAAGAACTGCAGCAGCCCCACACACTGCGGATACAGTGCAAGCAGCTGCTGCAGCGGTGCTGCTGCCTCAGCAGCAAATGCAGCAGCATCAGCCGGATGTAAGAACGCCAAAGACGATGAAGCTAATTCAAGCAGCTCCTTCTCTTCAACTTGTGCAACATTTAAACCCAACACCTCCACAGCCTCAGGTATACCCTGCAACCACAAACCCTAAACCCTAAACCCTAAACCCTAAACCCTAAACCCTAAACCCTAATCGTGGGCAAGCCCGGTACAGTTGGAGCTGAAAACACGCTCTTATTGCCAATCCCTCTACTCCTGAGAAGAAATCTTAAACCCTAAACCCTAAACCCTAAACCCTAAACCCTAACCTTGAACAAGGAACCCGCTAAGGGATATGTTGGCGGCAAAGCAATGAGGGTGCAGCCGATGCCTCCTTCTTCTACGTGGTGTTGCAGCCGCGAGGTTGCAGCATATGCAAAGCACTGCAGCCGCAAACCCCAAACCCTAAACCCTAAACCCTAAACCCTAAACCCTCATGAACAGCCCGAAGATCCACCAGGAAAAAGGCAAACGAACAGGGGTTTAGAGGGCTCGCCGCAGAGAAGCATCGGAGTCCAACTATGCTCCGCAACTCAGGGTTTAGGGTTTAGGGTTTAGGGTTTACCTTCGCATAAGTAAGAGCACTTCCTACAGTAGCATAGAAGGCATCTGCTAGCAACCCTCGATAGCCCGGAGGAAGCATCTGCCCATAGGGCAGCAGCCTAACATCAAATGATGTTCTGCTGCTGCTGCTGCTGCTAGCTGCTGCTGCAGCAGCGGAAAACGAAGAAGAGCCTACAGCCCCCTGCTGCTGCTGCTGCTGCTGCTGCTGTTGCTGCTGGCGGCGCTGCTGCTGCTGCAGCGGCAGCACCACAAGCTGGTAGACAACACAGCGCAAGGCTATGCAAGTGCTGCGCAGGAGGCTCTTCGTCTCCCTCAAGAAGCCTTGATAGACTTGCTGCTGCTGCGGTGTCAGGGGTTTAGCTGCTGCTGCTGCTGCTCCTGCTGCTGCGCCCCCAACGCCAGGCAACGGCACTGCCGGGGGATAAAAATACACTCTGCTGCTGCTGCTGCTGCTGCTGCTGCTGCTCTCAGCATCTTCAACTCCGTCGCTGCAAGCAGCTGCGTGCATCTGCATCCGCCCCACAAACCTCAATCAAAACCCTAAACCCTAAACCCTAAACCCTCACTGCCAAACCCACAAACCTAAATCCTACTCCAACAGTCTACTTTCAACATATTACCCTAAACCCTAAACCCTAAACCCTAAACCCTCGACATACGTGAGGTATTTCTGCCTGAAGCTCCACCAGTGAAGAGCAAAGGATACGCAGAGCCAGCAGCAGCAAATCCATCGTCTCTTGCTGCATGCGCTGTATTGTCTCCTTGCTGCTGCTGCTGCTGCTACTCTTTGCTGCTGCTGCAGCAGCGCCTGCTGGCCCCCGAGATGCTTCTGCTGCGGTATCTGGGCATCCTGCTGCTGCTGCTGCTGTTCCTGCTGCTGCTGCATCTTGCGCTGCGTCTGCTGCATGTGCTCCTGAAGTCTCTGTTGCTGCGCCAGCAGCAGCATCTGCATGTGCTGCTGTCGGCGCAGGCGTTTGTGCTGCTGCTGCGGGTTCAGTCTCTCCTGTGTTTGCTGCTGCAGCTGCATCTGCTGCTTCTGCTGCTGCTGCTGCTGCTGCTGCATCTGCATATTTATTAACAGCCAAGTCACATACGAAGTTTAAAAGCTTCGCAACGAGGTGGCGGATGCTGAGATCAGCAAGAAGAGTGCTTCCTGTTGCTGCTGCTGCTGCTGTTGCTGCTGCTGCTCCAAGGCCCCCGCTACGTTCTGTTTCTCCTGCTGCTGCTGTTGTTGTTGCTGCTGCTGCTGCTGCAGCAGCAGCATCGAACGCGCCGCCCTCTTCCTTTTCAAACGACTTAAGAGCTGCTGCTGCTGCTGCTGCTGCTGCTGTTGCTGCTGCTGCAGATAAATGAGACCTCGTCTGCAGCAGCAGCAAACCGCACCACCGTACAATCCGCAGCAGCAAAGAGAGAGAGACGCAAATAGGCGAAGGAAATATCAGCAAAAAGTCGTGGAGATGGCATATCGTGTACACCCTAAACGCACACACACAAACCCTAAACCCTAAACCCTAAACCCTGAACCCTAAACCCTAAACCCTAAACCCTGAACCCTAAACCCTAAACCCTGAACCCTAAACCCTAGGCCAAGACTAGCCGTTCCTTCATCCATTCCTGCTCTGCCGTAAGCCCTGACCCCTAACCCCCAAACCCTAAACTCCAAACCTTAAACCCTAAACCCTAAACCCTAAACCCTAACCTGAGCAGGCAGGAATCGATGCGCTCTGCGAAAACCGCGAGCTCTAAAGCCATCAGCTGCTCCACCACCGGATTTAAAAACCCTACAAAGGGCGACGCCGCTAACAACTTTGCTGCCTCATGCACCTGCACGTACACCCCAAAATCACGGTTTAGGGTTTAGGGTTTAGTGGGGGTTGGAAGGAGCGACAAATGTACTCCTCTCCGGGGGTTCATTTAGGAAGCTAGGGTTTAGGGTTTAGGGTTTAGGGTTTACAGTCTTTCGCTTCAAGAAGAGCGGAGGCTTGAGGGCCTGCAGCAGCCGAACCATCACCTGCGGCAGCTGCTGCAGCGCCTTTGTTGTAAAGGCTTCCAGTGTCCCGCTGCTGCTGCTGCTGCTGCTGCTGTCGCCTGCAGCCCTGTTCTTCAGCAAGTAGCAAATAAAAAGCAAGATGCGGCTTTGCGCTTGAAACAAATCTGCAGCAGCAGCAGCAGCAGCAGCAAGAGCAGCAGCAGCAACATTCAGGAGACCCCGGTAGTGGCAGCAACAGCACACCGAAGCAATAAGCGATGCTGCAAAAGCAGCAGCAGCAAAGCCAGTCAAACAACCAGCAGCAGCAGCATTAACAGCAGCAGCAACAGCAACAGCAGCAACAGCAGCAGCAGCAGCAGCAGCAGCACACCTTTGCTGGCTTCCGCTGTCGCCGGGTCATTGAGGAAGGCAGGCGGCAGCTCCAAACCCACAAAGCGCAGCAGCAAGTCGAGACAAACCCTGCAGCAGCAGCAGCAGCAGCAGCAGCAACAGCAGCAACAGGAGTGAAGGCAAAGGGCCCTTCCACTGGAGCAGTGTTTTAAGCTGTTTCTCAGTAAGACATTAAGGGTTTAGGGTTTAGGGTTTAGGGTTTAGGGTTTTTAGGGTTTGAAGTGGTAGTTAAAGGAGTCATTCTGGAGGGTTTGAGCTTGTCTACAACATGCGACCTAGGGTTTAGGGTTTAGGGTTTAGGGTTTAGAGGCACCTGTTGCTGGGGTCTCCAAATACCTTTAGCGTCCTCAGCTTTGCGTTTAAAGCAATAATGCAGTAGGCGGCATCACCGCCAACTCGCACTGAAAACTCTGCTGGTGTTAATTGTCCGCTGTCTCGCTTCACGCTCCCTGAAACACAAACCCTAAACCCTAAACCCTAAACCCTAAACCCTAAGAGCTAAACCTTATTAAACACTGCATGCTAAAGCGTAAAGGCTTAAGCCTTAAGTGGGACCACTAAAGCCCTGAGCAATGAACACTGCAACCCTAAATCCTAAACCCTAAACCCTAAACCCTAAACCCTAAACCCTAAACCCTGCAGTACAGCCTATAATATGAGAGGTAAAAGAAGGACCCAGCAGCAGCAGACGCAGCAGCAAGCTGCAGCAGCAGCGCGCGCCGAATCCAGCAGCATCCACAACAGCAGCAGCAACAAGTGACAGCAGCAGCAACAGCAGCAGCAGCAGCAGCAGCAGCAGCAACAGCACTTACCAAGAGGCAGCTCGCCAGCCTTCGGTAGGACTCCTGTTTGTTTGTATGTCTCCACCTGCCTCTCTATTGCCCCAATCAGCTTCTCATATATCTGCAGCAGCAGCAGCAGCAGCAGCAGCAACAGTAGCAGCAGCAGCAGCACAGAGACGCCGACAAATTGTTGGGAAGCAGTTTCTCAGCGATAAAAGCAGCAACAGCATATGGAGGTGCAGGCAGCAGCAGCAGCAGCAGCAGCAGCAGCAGCAGTCCCTGCAACAGCTAGATATGCATAAGAAGCAACCGGAATAGACAGCGACTATCTATGTGCGTATGAGCTGCGCATTTCAGGGTTTAGGGTTTAGGGTTTAGGGTTTAGGGTTTACTGGGGGTAGGGTTTTTGAGATAAGTTCCTCTGCAAGGCCCTTCGGGTCTCTGACTTGCTTCGATATTTCGATCAAAGCAGCAAGACAGCGAACAGCACATTCTTCACATCCACCAGCAATGCTAGATAGGCACCCACTCCACAGACGCTGCAGCAGCAGCAGCAGCAGCAGCAGCAGCAAAAGCAGAAGCAGAAGCAGCAGCAAGTGAAGGTGCGTAGCAGCAGCAGCAACACACGAAACAGCAGCAAAGGTAAAGATGCGCAACGTAGCAGCAGCAGCAGCAGGTAGACATGCATTACAGCAGCAGCAGCAGCAGGTAGACATGCATTAGAGCAGCAGCAGCAGCAGGTAGACATGCATTAGAGCAGCAGCAGCAGCAAGTGTGGTGTCCACAAGCAGCAGCAGCAGGTGAAGTACATATGAAACAGCAGCGGGTAAAGGTGAATGAGCAGCAGCAACAGCAGCAGGAACTGCAGCAGCTGCTGCTACATCAGCAGAAGCCCCGCCAGCAGCCGTAGCAGCAGCAGCAAGTGGAGTGTACAGCAGCAGCCCATGTAGCTGAAGACTAGGGTTTAGGGTTTAGGGTTTAGGGTTTAGGATTTACTGGTAGCAGTGTAGCATGTTGGTTGATTAGCTGCTGCTGCTGCTGCGGTGTAAGCGTAGCAAGCTGCTGCGGTGAAAAGACAAGAGGTGCTGCAGCAGGAGCAGCGAGAGCGCGCAGCAGCAGCAGCAGCTGCTGCTGCAGCGCATGCGGCTCGCCTTCCCTGCTACCAATCTCGAGCTGCTGCAGCAGCTGCAGCACAGCGGGCAGCAGCAAAGCAGCAGCTTCAGCAGCAGCAGCTGCTGCTGCACTGCCATAGTTAAGGCCCCCTGTTGCTTCTGCTGCAGCACTACCTGCTGCTGCTTCTCCTGCTGTTATCTGCTGCAGCGCAGCACAGCAACGCCGAGCAGCAGCAAGCCGCTCCGAGGCACCTTCCGTTGAAATGGTGTTGCTGCTGCCGATGCTCATGCAGCTAAGGGTACTACTACTACTACTGCTGCTGCTGCTACTGCTGCTACTGCTGCTGCTGCTGCTGCCGGGGCCTTCACAGAAGCGGTCAATGTTCATTACGAAGTGCTGCAGCGTTGCTGCTGCTGCTGGGAACAGCTGCGCTAGTCGGCTAGCAGAGGCAGGTAGCTGCGGTGCTGTTGATGCTGCTGCTGTTGCTGTTCCTCCTGCTGCTGCTGCTGCTGCTGCTGCTGCTCCCTGTGCTGCTCCGTCGTGCGGTGCAGCAGAGACTTCCAACGGGGCAAAGCCAGGCTGCATTACTCCTGCTGCTGCTGCTGCAGGTGCTGCTGCTGTTGCTGCTGCTGGGGCAACGGGTGCCGCCCCCATTGTGATGGGTGCTGCTGCTGCTGCAGCAGGTGCTGCTGCTGCTGCAGCAGCTGGTGTGACGAGCGGTGCAGCAGGAGCTGTAACGGGCGTTGTTGCTGCAGCACCAGGTGGTGCTGGAGCACCAGGTGCTGCTGCAGCAGGGGGTGCTGCAGCAGCAGCAAGTTGCTGATCCCCCTGCATGGCGGCCGCTGCTGCCGATCCTGCTGCTGATGCTGCTGCTGCCGATCCTGCTGCTGCTGCTGCTGTTGCTGCTGCTAAGTCCCTCGCTTGCTGCGCCGAGCGCTGCAGCCGGCGCTATAACTTGTCGACTCCTCTGTGCATGCGCCTCGATGCAAGCGGCAGCAGCAACAGCAACAGCAGCAGCAGCAGCAGCAGCAAGGGACCCGCTGCGGAGTGAAGTGCAGAAGGGTCTGTTGTTGTTGCTGTTCTTGCTGCTGCTGCTGCTGCTGCTTCTGCTAACTGAGACTGCGGTGTCTAGGGCCGCAGTTCCTACTCAAGACCTGAGGCTCCGAGCAACCCCAGCAGCAGCAGCAGCAGCAGCAAAAACCTGCTGCTGCTGCTGCTGCTGCTGCTGGGGAATACTCTAAAGGACGGGTGCCGCGCTTAATTTTTAAACCAATCATGTAAAACAGCATCAGCAATTTGCTGCTGCTGCGGCTTTGGCTGCTGCTTAGCCCTAGATCGAGGTGACGCCTGCAGCAGCAGCAGCAGCAGCAGCAGCTGCTGCTGCTGCTGCATGTGCTGCTGCAGCCGCCGCAGCCGTTGCGGCGCAGCAGCAGCAGTAGCAGCAGCAGCAGCCCGCTGTACCAACAGCTGCTGTTGCTGCTTGTCTCATGTTTTATAATAGTATTTTAATCTAAGAAAAACAGCGGGAGGCTTTGAAAAGCAGTCAGATAAGGTGTTGCTGCAGCAGCAGCAGCAGCAGCAACGACTACACGCCTGCAGCAGCAGCAGCAGCAGCAACCGCTGCAGCAGCAGCCTCGTCCAGGCGCCGCACACCCGACCCTTGCCTTTGAATTCTTCTTCTGGTTGACAGCAGCAGCTGCTGCTGCACCGTTTGGTGCTACTGCTGTCGCTGCTGCTGCAGCGCCGCCGCCGCAGCAGTGGTTGTAGTAGTAGTAGCAGCAGCAGCAGCAGCAGCCGCAGCAGCAGCAGCAACAACAACCGCATTAACATCGGTAACTCGTTTCAGGCAGGTGGATTTCGTGCACTCGCCCTCAGTATGTTGCTGTTGTTGCTGCTGCTGCTGCTCACTGCAGCAGCAGCAGCAGCAGCGCGTTGGCTGCAGCAGCGGCCAACTCGCCTGGCGAGTCGACCTCCAGAGCAGCAACAACAGCAGCAGCATAAAAAGCAGCAGCAGCAGCAACAGGTGCAGCATGAAGAGCAGCAGCAGCAGCCGGAGGTGCAACAAAAGCAGCCTCGGCAGCAGCACGGTGAACAAGATGTTGGGAGCAGCTGCAGCAGCAGCAGCAGCAGCAGTAGCAGCAACAGCAGCAGTAGCAGCAGTAGCAGCAGTATGGACAGTGGCCAGCCGCGTCGCCGGCGCACAGATGCAGCAGCAGCAGCAGCAGCAGCAGCAGAAGAGGCAGACACCAGCAGCAAAGCAGCAAGAGATCCTTCTCAGCCAGAGGGAGAGTTCAACAGCAGCAAAGCCAGCGAGAAGGCAGCCGATCCAGTAGCAGCAGCAGCAGCAGCAGCTGCTGCTGCTGCTGCTGCAGCGCGAGCTGATGCTGCCAGGGACGCTGCAGTTGCTGCAGCAGTTGGCGCAGCAACAGCAACAGCAACAGGTACTGCTGCTGCAGCAGACGAGGCAGGTAGTGACACGCAAGTAGAACAGCTGCAGCAAAAGCAGCAGCAGCAGCAGCAGCAAGAACTGGGGCAACGCCAGCAGCCTGTGGAGCAGCAGAAGCAGCAGCACGAACTCGAGGAGCAGCTTCAGCAGCAACAACAGCAACCAGAGCAACAGCAGCAGCAAGAGCAACAGCAGCAGAATGGTTCTAAGACAGCAGAGTGCAGCGCCTCTTCTGCTGCGGAAGTGGTGAGCGACATCGCAGCAGCAGCAGCAGCAGAAGCTGTAGCAGCAGCAGCAACGGCAGACGCAGCAGCAGCAACAGCAAAAGCAGCAGCAGCAGCGGCGGCGGCTTCACATGGAACAGATGATAGAGTTGGTGCAGCAACAGCAGCAGCAGCAGAAGCAGAAGCAGAAGGCATAAAGATGCAGCCTGCTGCAGAAGCTGCTGCAGCGTCAGATGCAGCTGAAGCAGCAGCGACAGCAGCGGCAGCAGCAGCAACAGCGCCAGATGCAGCTGAAGCAGCAGCGGCAGCAGCAGAAACTGCAGCAGCCGCTGCAGACTCAGCAATAGCAGCAGCAGCAGCAGGTGAGGCAGCAGCAGCTGATGCACCATCATCTCCCGCTTCACTGAATGTGGACACGACAGCAGCAACAGAAGCAGCAGCAGATGCAGCGGCAGACGCAACAGCAGCAGCAGCAGCAGCTAAAGAGCTGGCGGAAGCAGCAGCAGATTCAGCAGCAGAGGCAGCAGCAACAGCAAAAAGTACAGCAGATCTCCTCAGAGGGGTTACCCGCATTGGGGACGTACACTGCGAAGACGAGCAGCAGCAGCAGCAGCAGCAGCAACCAGCAGATGCTCAGTCACCCCCAGTAGCAGGAGCAGCAGATGCAGCAGCAGAAGCAGCAGCACCTGCAGCAGCCGATGCAACAGCAGCAGCAGAACCAGCAGCAGCAGCATCAGAACCAGCAGCAGCAGCAGCAGCATCAGCATCAGAACCAGCAGCAGCATCAGCAGCATCAGAACCAGCAGCAGCAGCAGCATCAGAACCAGCAGCAGCAGAAGCCCCTCGATTTGAGGAGTTGGATGGAGACGATGAAGAGCAGCAGCAAAGCGTAGATGAGTTAAAAGAGAGAGGCAATGCAGAGTTTAAAAGGGGGTCGGTGTCTGCTGCGCTGCAGCTGTACTCTGCTGCTCTTGATAAGCTCGAGAAGGAGACGGAGGAAACAGAAGTGCAGCTTGATGCTCTTGAGGTGCAGGCAGAGCAGCTGCAGCAGCAGCAGCAGCAAGAGCAGCAGCAAGAGCAGCAAGAGCAGCAGCAAGAGCAGCAAGAGCAGCAGCAACGAGCGACACAGCAGCAGGATGAAGGGCAAGTGCAGCAGCAAGAACAGTCGGATCAGCAGCAACAGCAGCAGCAGCAGCAAGAAGAAGAAGAGCAGCCACAAGAGCAGCAACCGCAGCAGCAGCAGCAACAGCAAGAGCAGGAAGAGCAGCAAGACCCAAGAGAGCATCCTGCTGCACATCTGCTGCCAGCAAATGATTTGCTGCGGTACAGAGAGCTGCTGCAGCAGCTGCAGCAACTGGACGAGATGCATGCTGTCTTAAAGAGTAACAGGTAATCCACCAGCAGCTAGTAGAAGCAGCAGCAGCAGCAGCAGCAGCATCTGTTGCTGCTGCTGCTGCTGCAGCTGCTGCAACTTGTGTCCTTCCCGTTGCAATTTCCTTATCGTTCTTGCTGCTGTTTCTACTGTTACTGCTGCTGCTGCTTCGGTTGCCACTGCTGCTGCTGCTATTGCTGCTGCTGCTGCTATTGCTGCTGCTCTTATTGCGGCTGCTGCTGCTGCTGCTGCTGCTGCTGCTGCAGGGCTTTGTGCCACCTTCACTATGGGGCGTTTGACTCGGTTGTTGCCGACGCATCCGACGCCATCCGCGTAAACCCTAAATATGCAAAGGTAAACCCTAAACCCTAAACCCTAAACCCTAATCTCTAGACCCTAAACGGTAGATAACCTCCCCTAACCAGAAAACCCTAAACTCTAAACCCTTACCAGAGCAGCAAACCCTGCAGCTGCTGCGACTGCGCAAACCCTAAACCCTAGGCAGGACCTATCAGCAGCACTTCTTTCTCTAACGCACAGCACCGTAGGGCTTTAGGGTTTAGGGTTTAGGGTTTAGGGTTTGTGTGTTTAGGGTTATTTACGACGCTTCCGTGGCTACGAAGGACAAAAGAAGTGGCACGAGGCGCTCAGCGATTTAAACAAAGCAATCGAGCTCGACCCGAAGCTCGCGTAAACCCTAAACCCTAAACCCTAAACCCTAAGCTCATTTAAACCCTACGCTCATTTAAACCCTACTGAACCCGTTCAAACCCTAGACCGAAAAATTTTAATTCACAGCTAGGCGGGGAAACCGTAAACCCTAAAACCCTTACTGGCGTAAACCCTAAACCCTAAACCCTAAACCCTAGCTGGGTACTGAATTAGGGTTTTAAGTTTATGCCTATACACCGTAAACCCTAATTGTTCAAAGATGAAGAAGTGTTTATATATAAATACATATATATATATATATATATAGGCGGTATTAAGGGTGTAATTGAGGGTTTAGGGTTTAGGGTTTGTGGTTTGGGGTGTTGTATGTATGATTGATTCAGGTGTACGTACAGCTCAGATTTGCGGCGTGTGAAGAAAGAAAGCGAAGATTTATTTGAGAAAGAAAAGAAAGAAATGATTGATAAATTAAAAGACTTAGGCAATTTTGTCTTAGGTAAAGTCGGGCTGTCTTTAGACAACTTTAAGGTTGAGCAAAACCCTGAGACAGGCAGTTATAATATTCAGTTCCAGCAAAACCCTAAACCCTAAACCCTACATTTTAAACCCTAGGGCGCATGCTCTACGGTCTATGGGTAGCAGAGGGGGGAGGGGGGGGTGAGGGTTTAGGGTTTAGGGTTTAGGGTTTAGGGTTTAGGGTTTAGGGTTTTATCCGGGTGAACAACGCCGCCTTTAACGGACACCCGTGACACAGCTGCAGCTACTGCTGCTGCTGCTGCAGCAGCAGCAACAGCAGCAGCACCAATAGCTGCAGTAGCCATAGCTGCAGCAGCAGGAGCTGCAGCAGCAGTAGCAGCCATACCTGCAGTAGCCGTAGCTGCAGCAGCAGTAACTGCAGCAGCAGTAACTGCAGCAGCAGCAGTAGCAGCAGCAGCAGTAGCAGCAGCAGCAGTAGCAGCAGCAGCAGTAGCAGCAGCTGGCGTCTCTAATAAACTGTGTCGTCTGCTGCAGCATTAATTTGTTTTCTGCTGCATATCTTTACTAACTCTGTCGGTTTGCCTCTTAATAAGTCTTCCTGATTAAACGGTTTGCATAGCAGTTGCTGCTGCAACTGCTGCTGCAGCAAGTCCTGCTGCAGCAGCAGCTGCTGCTGGTGCAGCTTTTTCCGCAGCAAGTAATGCTGCTGCTGTTGCTGTTGCTGCGAGTACAAGCATCTGCATGCAATCTGTTGAGGCAGCGCCCGTTGAACTGCTGATTCATCTTCGGGTGTACGTACACCCCAATTTATTACCCCACACTTTAGCTGCCCATACACCCCAGATATACCTATATATATATATATATATATATATATATATATATATATACAGCATTTATGTTTGTATATACAGCTGAGCTGTTTACTCAGAGCAAATATTTGCAGCGGTATCGATGATAAAATCTGGGAGGACTGCTTTGGGTTGCTGCTGCTCCTCTGAGTGTCCGCTGCTGCCGCCGCTGCTGCTGCTGCTGCTGCTGCTAGCAGCAGCAGCAGCAGAGAAGGCTTTGCGCAGCAGCAAACCGTCTGTCACACCCGTTAGACAGAGGCAGCTCTTTATTGCTGCTGCAGCAGCAAAAGCAATGTCTGTTATAAGCGAATCTCCTACAAGCAGCACTTTATCCAGGCTCTCACCTGCTGCAGCACAGCAGCAGCAAAAGCAAAAGTAGCAGCAGCAGCAGCAGCAACAACTGAAACCGCAGCACCGGGCAGCACTAGCAAACAACGCAGCACGCAGCAACAGCAATCAGAGCAGCAGCAACAGCAGCAGCAGCAGCAACAACTGGAACTACTACAACACTAGCAGCAAATGCAGCAGCAGCAGCAGCAACTCCAGCAGCAGCAACAAAATTTACACGCATGTCCCACACAATCAAACAAGAGACTGTGACACGTCTTGTACTAAAGGGGTTTAGGGTTTAGGGTTTAGGGTTTAGGGTTTATAATACCCAGCGCATCCAGCACCAAACGCTTCATCTGCTCCGAGGGTTTACCCATCAGCACGGGTTGCTGCTGCACTGCAGCAGCAACAGCAGCAACCATTGTCCCTGCTCCAGCCCACTTCTGCAGCAGCACAAACACTAAACCCTAAACCCTAAACCCTAAACTTCCTTGTACGCAAAATGCAGCATTGTGTGTTGGTGAGGATCTTACGGCAGTCACGCCTGTGCAAGCAGAGTGCAAGCTTTAAAATTAGGGTTTAGGGTTTAGGGCTAAGGGTTTAGGGTTAAGGGTTTAGGGCTAAGGCTTTAATGCTTAGGGTTTAGGGTTTAGGGTTTATGGTTTAGGTTTAAGGGTATAGGGTTTTCTGTTCAAGTTTAAAGGTTCAGGGTTTAGGGTTTAGGTTTAAAGGTTTAGGGTTTAGGATTTAGGGTTTTCTGTTTAGGTTTAAAGGATTAGGGTTTAGGATTTAGGGTTTTCTGTTTAGGTTTAAAGGATTACGGTTTAGGGTTTAGGATTTTAGGGTTTAGGATTTTAGGGTTTAGGGTTTAGGGTTTAGGGTTTAGGGTTTAGATTGCCTGTTTGGTGGAGAAGTTTCCGAGCGGGTCTGCATTTGTCGCAATAAATTTTGCATGCATGTCGTTAATATACAGCTGAGCAGTCTGAAGCTTCTTATAATAAAAATCTCTATCCAGGCCAACGACAACATAATTAACCTCCGGCTGTACGTACACCGCAGGGTCGCGTGCAAAGTCTATCGCTTCGTACGCCTCTGCACATACACCACAAACCACAAACCACAAACCCTAAACCCTAAACCCTAAACCCTAAACCCTTAACCCTTAAGCTTAAAGCTTAAAGCTTAAAGCTTAAAGCCTAAATCGTAGAGCCTAAATACTAAACCCTAAACTGTATAACATAACCCTAAAGCCTTAAGCCGACACCCTAAACCCTAAACCCTGAACCCTAGAACGTAAATACTAAACTCTAGAGGTACGCAGGAATAGTTGATATGATAAACCACGTCAAATTCTACCCACACACAAACCCTAAACCCTAAACCCTAAACCCTAGTACGCCAAACCCTAAACCCTCAGCCAAACCCTTGCTACCCGCAGAAGCCTCTCAAAGAGTAGACACACGGCTTATCAAGGCACAAACGCAACTACGGTTTAGGGTTTAGGGTTTAGGGTTTAGGGTTTAGGGTTTAGGGTTTAGGGTTTAGTACCCTCAGGGCCGCCAAAAGCATCGATGCCGTTGCTGCGCAGCTCCTCCAGCAAACCCTTCTCTCCAACCACATACACCCGAGACTTGTGCTGCTGCTGCTGCTGAATGCTGCTGCTGCCGTTGCACATCAGATGCTGCTCTTGTTGCAGTTGCTGCTGCTTTTGCTGCTGCTGCTGCTGCTGCTGCTGCTGCTGCTGCTGCTGCTGGGAAAGGATATATCTGGCTGTTGAGTAACTTGTGCATAGAACCTGCAGCGCGCAAACCCCAAACCCTAAACCCTAAACCCTAAACCCTCATCTGTAAGAACTCAGCTGCAGGCCTTCTTTATCAGGCACTGATTCTACAAACCACCGTTTAGGGTTTAGGGTTTAGGGTTTACCTGCTGCTCTGTCGCTTCAATTCCGAGTTTATTTAGCTTAGCAACAAAACCCTTTCGGCTAAGAGTGCTGTTATTCGTAAGGAAGTAAACACTCTTCTTGCTGCTGCTGCTGCTGCTGCTGCTGCTGCTGCTGCTGCGAGGGGTTTGCTGCAGCTGAGTCAGCATCTCCCGCACCCCCGGCAGCAATTTGCTGCCGTGCCACAACACCCCATCGCAGTCAAAGATAAATATATCGAATTGCTGCAGCAGCGCAGCAGCAGATATGCTGCTGCTGCAGAGTTCTGCTGCTGCTGCTACTCCAGACGCTGAGATAACAGATCCTGCTGCTGCACCTGCTGCTGCACCTGCTGCTGCACCTGCTGCTGCTCCTGCCGCTGCTCCTGCTGCTGCTCCTGCTGCTGCTGCTGCAGTTGACGCTGCTGCTGTTGCTGCTGCTGCTGCTGTCTTGCACGAGACAGGCGACAGTGCTGCTCCCGCTGCTGCTGCTGCAGCAGTAACAACTAGAGAAGGCATTGCTGCTGCTGCTGCTCTTCAAAACAACGAAAAAGCTAGGGAAGACTGGTGTGGAGCGTTGGATTTCATAAACCCTAAACCCTAAACCCTAAACCTTAAACTCTGAATCTCAAACCCTAAGCCCTAAACCCTAAGTCCTTAGGCCTAAAGCATAGACCCTAAACACTAAACCCTAAACCCTAAACCCTAAACACTCAACAACTGGGCAACGCTCTACACGCCACTGAGGCGCTAGGGGGGCAGGGAAGCGGCGCTCACAAACCCTAAACCCTAAACCCTAAGCCCTAAACCCTAAACCCTAAACCCTAAACCCTAAAAAAGCAGAACCAGCATGATAAAAAGAATAACGGAAGACATAAATAACTCCCCTAAGAATCGTCACGCGCATCTGCCGTACTTGTGTACCAGCCCCATCGGTGCAAACCCTAAACCCTAAACCCTAAACCCTAAACCCTAAACCCTCGAGTTAGACACCAGCTATAAATATCTTTTTTTTGTTGCTTTGCAATATCTCTTCTTCCTTCAGTCTTGTCTCTAAAGTCTACAGCACATTGTTTAACCTCTAGAGTTTAGGGTTTATGAAGTGAAGGTTTCGAGCTGGGGTCTAGGGTTTAGGGTTTAGGGTTTAGGGTTTGATGTGCAGGGTTTCGGTATTGTTAGCCGTAAGAATTGCTGGAGGCCCTTAGAGCTGCTCCTCTAAAAGACAAACCCTAAAACTAATTTGCTCTATTCTTACTAGCAGCAGCAGCAACAGCAACAACAACAACAGCAGCAACAGCAACAACAACAACAGCAGCAACAGCAGCAACAACAGCAAGAGCTGCAGTAGCTGCAGCAGCAATACCAGCAGCAGCACATCCACCAAGATCAGCAGCAGCAGTAGCAGCAGCAGCAGCAGCAGCAGCAATCACGTCTCTATGCACATCATCCACAGAAGAAGGGAGCGAAGCACTGGAACCGAACCCGCCCAAAGAAGGTAAATCCGTTGCTGCTGCTGCTACTGCTGCTGATGCTGCTGCTGCTGTTGCTGCTGATGCTGCTGCTGCTGCTGCTGCTGTTCTTGCTGCTGCTGCTGCATTGCGGTTTCTTTTCGGATTGCGTTGCTGCACCTGCAACGAAATCTGTACAGTGGTGGCTGTGCCATAGGGAAATGCCTTTAGGGTTTAGGGTTTAGGGTTTAGGGTTTAGGGTTTAGGGTTTAGGGTTTACGGTTTTGCAGACGCGGCCTTCATCAATAAACAACAAACCAACGCCGCATCACAAAGACCCAACAGAATATGCAAACGCCCCTCCGGAATATCTGGCAGTTCCCGTAAGGGTTTAGGGTTTAGGGTTTAGGGTTTAGGGATTAGGGTTTAGGGTTTAGGGTTTAGGGTTTAGCGATTGCATTTCAGGGTGTAGGGTTTGGGTTTCACGGGTAAGGGCCTAGGGTTTCAGGGTTTAGTGCCTAGGGTTTAGGGTTAAAGACAAATGAGGTAGGGTTTAGGGTTTAGGGTTTAGGGTTTAGTGCATGCGGTATGGCTTAGGATGAAGAGGGTTTGATAGCATTGAGTGCTGCGCCGCTGCAGAAGCTGCTGCTGCTGCTGCAGCAGCAGCAGCAGCAGTGCAGGGCGAGCAGCAGCAGCTTGCTGCGGGTCCCTACTCCCTGCACCGTAACGATGCCTCGCTCTACAGCAGCAGCAGCAGCAGCAGTTGCTGCTGCTGTTGCTGCAAGCAGCCCGGAGGAAGCAGCAGCAGCAGCAGCTGCTGCCGCTCCCGCCGTGAAAGAAGAAGCAGCAGCGTATGCAGCAGCACTGCGATCTGCTGCTGAAGCTGCTGCAGCTGACGCAGCAGCAGCTGCTGCTGCACACTTTCCTGATGCAGCTCCTGGAGAGGGAATTGCTGCTGCTGCTGCTGCTGCTCTCGACACGCCAGCAGCACAGAAGCTGCAGCAGCTGGCGAAGCAGCCGCAGCTTCATCATCTACTGCAGCAGCTGCAGCAACTAGCAGAGACCAACGTACGCTGCTTCTGCTGCTGTTGTTGTTGTTGCTGCTGCTGCTGCTACAGCTTTCTGCTGCTGCTTCTGCTGCTATGGTAACTGGTGCGGCGTGCTGCTGTTGCTGTATTTGCCCGTGCTGGTTGCTGCTGCTGTAGCGCCTGCATCAGCAGCAACCGCAGCAGCAGCAGCAGCAGCAACCACAGCAACCGCAGCAGCAACAGCAGCAGCAACCACAGCAACAGCAGCAGCAGCAGCAACTGCAGCAGCAGCATGGTTTGTTTGTCTGCGTGTGTGTGCTGTACGTACACCAGAACGATGCACCGCTCAAGAAGATTGCTGTTCATTTTGCTGCCGCAGTTAGCCCGCTGCGGCTCCCTGCAGCAGCAGAATTCATCATCGGCCCCCGTAAACCCTAAACCCTAAACCCTAAACCCTCAGCGAAATTCACGAAGAACTTACCGCTGCTCAAGGACACCATCACACGAATTTTGCGTGCAGCTCCCGCTGCTGCTGCTCCTGCTGCAGCTCCTGCTGCTGCTGCAGCTGCTGCTGCTGCAGTGTGGTGTTTGCGCTCAGCATATGCCGACAATCAAGGAGCAACAGCAGCAGCAGCAGCACCTGGAGCAGCAACAGCAGCACCTGGAGCAGCAACAGCAGCAGCACCTGGAGCAGCAACAGCAGCACCTGGAGCAGCAACAGCAGCACATGGAGCAGCAGCAGCAGCTGCAGCAGCAGCAGCAGCAGACCTTTCAGAGGCTCGTGCTTTGCTGCGCCGCCGTCGTGGTTTGCTGCCGTGTTTGAAAGCCCTAAAGTTATCGGCTTTGCCGCGCTTTAATCCGCTGCTGCTGCTGCAGACAATCGACAGACACTGGAGAGCGCTGCAGCAAAGACGGTATAAGGGGCTTTTAAAGCGGAAGCTGCAGCAAACACTCGCTGTTGCACGCAAGCTTCAAGTCAGCTGCTGCTGATATTGTTGCTGCTGCTGCTGCCGATATTTCTGGTGCTGCTGCTGCTGCTAATATTGTTGGTACTGCTGCTGCTGCTGCTGTTATTCGTGCTGCTGCTGCTGCTGCTGCTGATATTGTTGGTGCTGCTGCTGTTGCGCGTGCTGTTGCTGCTGCTGCTGCTGCTGCTGCTTCCGTTGGTTCCAAGGGAGCGGCGGTGTTTGTTTTTTCGTTTGCTGTTGCAGTTTCATCTGTCCCTTCCTTACGCCTTATTCACTGCTGCTGTTGCTGCTGCTGCTGCTGCTGCTGCTGCTGCTGCTGCTGCTGCTGCTGCTGCTGCTGCTGCAGGCTGATGGGGTGTCTCCTGAGGTGCTGCTGGAAGAAGGTGGATTTGAGCGCTACGGGCTGCTGCACAATTTGCCGAAGACTTCGTTCGTCTTCAGCTACATCCACAGACACTCTAGACCCTGGCGGCCTCCTGAAGCTGCTGCTGCTGCTGCTGCTACAGCTGCAGCAGCAGCAGCAGCTGCTGCTGCTGCTGCAGCGGATGAGGGGGAAAATGAGGGAGACAAGCAGCAGCAAGCCAAGGCCCTTGCTGCTGCTGCAGCAGAAGCCAGGGCTGCCCTTCGTGCCGCTGCTATACGAAGGCTACAGGTATGCCAAGCAAATGCAGCAGCAGCAGCAGCAGCAGCAGCAGAAAGTGCAGCAGCAAAGCGCGGCAGAACAAGCAGAGGCAGCACCAGCAGAAGAGCCTCCAGTAGCAGCAGAAGCAGCAATAGCACCACACGCAAAAGAAGCAGCAGCAGACAAGAAACAGCAGTAGCAACAGCAGCAGCAGCAGCAGCACAAGCAGCAGCCGCAGCAACATCCATGTGTGTGTGTGTGTGGTATAGGAGTTAGGTCTTGTAACAGCTGAAGGGCAGCCTGAGTTGCTGCAGCTACGTGCAATGCAGGCGGCGCTGCAGCAGCAGCCTTTGCCGTGTCGTCTATCTGCTGCTGAGCAGCAGCAGCTGCTGCAGCAGCAGCGGCTGCGGCCTCGCTCCCGCTTTACTCGTATTATTAACAGAGTCACCACGCATGCACGTGCTGCTGCAGCAAGCCTCAATTTGCCTCTCCTTGGAAGCAAACGCTACCGCAAGGAAGCAGCAGCAGCAGCAACTGCTGCTGCTGCTGCTGCTGCCGACATAACCGATACAGAGGTTTTTGCAGCCCCCTCCACTGTTCTCATTCGCGGCCGCCCCTGGCAACAGCAGCAGCAGCAACAGCAGCAGCAGCAACAGCAGCAACAGCAGCAGCAACTGCAGCAGCAGCAGCAGCAGCAGCAGCAGCAACAGGCTGGAGGCCATGTGGGGTATTTGAGGGGCCCAATGGCCCGCGCAGCAACACGCATGCAAAAGCGGCGGCTGCTGCAGCAGCAGATGCTGCAGAAGCAGCAGCAAGAGCAGCAGCAGAGGCAGCACCTGCTGGAAGTTGCTGCAGCAGCAGGAGGAGTGTTTGATGCTTTAGCTGCTGCAGATTACCCTGAATATAAACCCCTAACTAAAGCAGAAGAACTGGGTAAGGCTGATGCTGCTGCTGCTGCAGTTGCTGTTTCTGCTGCTGCTGCTGCTGCTGTTGAGGCTTTTGCTGCGCTTCTTTCCCCCTTTGCTCATCCTTCTGCTGCTGCTGCGCTGCTGCTGCTGCTGCTGCACAGAGTTGTTTGTGGAGGCAGAGTACCGACGACATTTGCTGCTGCGAGATATGAAAGAGGGTTTGAAGGCAGCGCTGCAGTCAGGGGCTGCTGCACTCGAGCAGCAGCAACCCTCACGTACGCCAAACCCTAAACCCTAAACCCTCAGGCAGTTGCAGTAGCACAAACCCCTACTCAAGCTCACCACGCCTACCAAACCCTAGAGCGCCTAGGGGCTAGGGTTTAGGGTTTAGGGTTTAGGGTTTTCTTCAAGTCTTAATCTATCCGGGCTTCTGCTGACGCTGCAGTCCACGAGCGCAGCAGCCGCCTTTAGGGTTTAGGGTTTAGGGTTTAGGGTTTAGGGTTTGTGTGTGGCTGCAGGGGGAAGCAGCTTTTCAGCCTTTATTACTGAGTGGATGAGGCTCTCGAAGCGTCGGCGGCGGCAGCTGCTGCTGCAGGAGCAACGGGAGCAGCAGCTGCAGCTGCAGCAGCAGCAGCAGCAAGGACGGCGTTCGCTGCGGCGTCAGCAGCAGCAGCAGCAACTTGCTGCAGACCCTCGACGTATCCTCAGGCATTTGCGGCGTAAGTTTGACTTGGGGCTGCTCCCCCTGCAGCCGCCTGCTGCTGCTGCTCCTGCGCCTGCTGCTGCTGCTGCTGCAGCTAGCTCTCCGTACACCTCAGCTAGCGACTCCTTCGCTGCAGCTAGCCAACAGCCCCCAGGGGCTTTAGGTGCTGCTGTTGGGGGGTCTTCGTCGGGTTGCAGCATGCTGCAAAGCGCAAGTAGGCTGCCGCTGCAGCAGCCCCTAAGCAGCAGCAGCAGCAGCAACAGCAGCAGCAGCAGCAGCAGGACGCGCCACTTCGCTTGCCCCAAGGGTTTGCTGTCGGTCCCTACTACGGATAGACAGCCCAACCGACGCCTGCAG